CTTGTAACTTCGTCCACAGAAGCGGGAAGCAGATAAGAAGGACAGATTCGAAGTCAGCGTTTTATACTGCATCGAATGGTATACAGCTTGTTTGGTTTGGCCACTTCGACTTCTGACCATTCCCTTGTAAGAAGATTTCTACAAGGAGAGTCGGTCCCTAAAAATTTACTGTACTCACATCAGGGCTCGGCACGAGCTGGCACCAGGGAAATTTCGAAACGAAGTCCCTTTCGATCTTGTAAATTTCGTACGAAGTCCCCTTTGACCAGTTTTGAAGACAAGTCATTAATTTTGCATTCTGTAAAAGTATGTAGTAGGGTTTTCATGCATGCTGATTTCATGGAACCACTTTTCACAAATTTCTGAGCTTTTTATGTGGTTGAATCACATCTTGAGAAGCAGAAAAAGCCGATTTTTTGATTGCGGAGCAGGCTGAGTAATTTTAAAATTGCTATAAAACGCTGAAAAGAAAATATTATGAAAATGTTTCTTCTCTGTATGTAAACTTTTGCAGTATAGATACGTTTTATGTAGAAAAGTATAAAAACTTATGTGAGCAAAGTGTCGGTGCCAGCTCAGCTGGCACCCAGCTGGCACGGTGCCAGCCAATTCAGGAAAAAGTTCGGCACACCTTTCATTCACATAAGTTTTCATGAATTTTTGGGCTATAGTTCCGGTCCATTAACGCGCATGCTCACACCAAATTTGGTGTCATACTATTGCATTTTGGCTGAGAACGAGGCCTTTGTTTGTTGATGGACAGCATGCCGGTGGCATGCCGGCGGCATTCTTGCGGCACTTCTCCGCCGCGGACCCCGAAAAAACGATATCCCCTTTGCTTCCCGCCCTAAAAACGATATCCAGCTTGACCCGGTGCCAGCTGTGCCGAGCGCTGGCTCACATTGAATATTCCGCTTAACTGGCACTCTAACAAGGGAGGTCCGATTAGTCGAAGTGGCCTTTCAAAATGATCCTTTACCACTCTGAAGAACATCAAACGCTGACTCCGATTCTGATCTCTATATTCGACGAGCGCCTCTGCATGTCAATTTATAAATGTTCTTTTGGAGCTTCTTTCGTTGAATAAAGTGTGCTGATAATTTTGGACCATTTGAGCGAATTCTGTTATAATTACACTTTCGATTTTTTAATCCAAAAACGCTCACAACTTGGCGTCCAGAGGCCTTTGGCAGATAACGAAGACAGATTTGGAATCAGCATTTGATACTCTTTAGAATCGTATCAGTTTCATGTGAAAAGGCCACTCCGACCAAACAAACCTCCTTTTTAAGACGAAAGTAAATTCATGATAGGAAAATTCTAATATGTGTTCTTCTTGCCGTACATGTCCCTAATAGCGCTTTTTATCAGTAATGTCATTCCACGCTTCCTGCTATCTTTGAAGAAGGCTTAATGGTCATAATCAATCCCAGGGTCCATAAATAAAAGACACTTAGAAATTAACAGCAAATTTACAAAATCCCAAATTTTTTATAGACCTTTCGAAAAGAATATGGGGGTCTCCTTTCTTTTATTTCCCATTTCTCCTGCATTCGGTTACATTCCATCAATATTTCTGAAACAAGGCTACAGCAGCTTACAGCAGAGATTCATCTTCTCACTCGCCATGAGGTTGTCTGTTTGACGGAAATTCAAAATAGTAGTTAGTTTCGAAAAGTCTATTCAGTTCTTGAAGTGCAGCTTTAGAATGTGTATTCTCTAAGTGTGCAAGTTGGAACTTTTGTTCCATCGATGAAATATATTTCAGCCTCAGCGAGTCCCAAATAATCGTTTAGGACTTCTTTTTGAAAGAGCAGAACATATCCGGAAGTTATGAAAAGCAGAAAATTGATGGATGTGCAATGGAGCCGACTCGGACATAACGGAAAGAATTTTTTTCAGAAAATAACGCTGTAAAATTGGAACGGCCCAATTTTCTGGAGCTCTTAAATGTCTTAGATTTTTTTTTATCGCCGCTTCGCCTTTTCTCGCAATCGTTTTGCGAATTCGACACATTTAGGATTAATAATGCCACACTAATTTCCTTTGTCAATGTCAAGGGGAAGAGAGCTACGACTAGTTACCCTGATCGTACGTAGTTGTATAAATAGTTAGAATGTATCAATGGCTTACCGCCATTCAAGGATTTTTACACACATTCTGCATCTGTCTAATGATGTCTCAAAAAGAGTCTGATCCTCTTTTCAAGAGTAAAAACACATGCAAATGATCGAGAAAAAATTGTATTGCTCTTGTAACTTGAGGTTTCAGAATAATCAGTTCAAATAGCGATCTGCTTTGGACATTGTTCTCGTTGTTAGCAGGAAGCAACAAATTCAGAATGAGCGGAGTTCCACAGAAGTCAAAGCATCCGTAATGAAGAGAATGGAAAGAGCTTTCAAGAAATTTGCAGCCTCTAAGAATAGTATCTCCTTAAATCCAGCACTAGCAGTAAGAAAGTTAAGAAATATTGCAATATTCAGGTATCGTCTCATCAAACTTCTTCGGTGAGGTGTGCCAAAGTGTAATACTTGGTGAGTATTGTTATAAAGCAGAGCTGCCAGGAGGTTAATAACATTTTGCGACGGAGCTAATTTCTCCTTATATTTGAAGACTTTGTACTGCCTTTCAAAGCTGTTCAAGTGATATAATCTGGAAAGTTGTCAGCAGCGGTGGACCGAGGGGAGTTCTGGAAGTGTTCATACTTGCAAATATTTGGAATGACTCATGATATTTATGAAAATTCAATTAGACTTGTTTTTTCGGGCTGCCGCCACCCACCCCCTCTTCCTAGAATTCCAGGGTTATGGGCCCGCAAAAATTTGGGAAGCATCCCAAAAAATTCTTCGGAGTTCATGGCTAACGTCACTCACCTTTATTCGCAAAATATTTGTCGCTCCCCCCCCCCCCCCCCAACAGAAATCCTGGGACCGCCACTGTCGTCACAGCATAGACGTAATTTTCAAATCAGGAATTTCTACAGCGGGCAAAGTTGTGTTCGAAATCAGCAACTCATCAAAATGATTTTATTTGATTTATTTATTTGATTTATTTGATAAAGTCGATAACAAATGGTATATTATGAGGAAAGAAAAGTACATCCACAGTCGACTGAGGAATCTTGCTGCCTCTCAGAAATTATGTTCCCATTTCCATTTTTTTTTGAAGGCCAGCGAGCCTACGGGCGGAGGCTAGCTGGCTATAACCCCATTAAAAAAGTATTCCCAAAAGGACAACAAGACCTGCAAAACAGAACAAGAAAAACGAACAAAAAATCAACGAAACTTTCAGAAGGTGGATAATTTATCCGAGAAAGGGAAGTGAGGTAGAAAGGAAACAATATATGCCTTATGGCTTTTTCCAATAGTTTTTTTGTAGTTTTTTTTTCAAATGTTTTTCCTAAGGAATAGAGTAGAAGGGATAGCATATAGTGCGATTTGCTCTTCTAGATAGAGGAACAGAACCGGCTAGAGTGCTGCTGTTGAGAAGACAAAAGGACACCGACTTCTTCCAATTCTGCAATTAAAAATCGGAATGACCCTTGCGATTTCAAATATTTTTGAACTTCTCTGTTAAAATGAAGGTGTTTCTCGCAGTAACAGCTTCCACAGGGAGATCATTCCAAGTTTTGACTACGCGTACTAAGAAGGAGTTGAAAAACTGCTTAGTTCTAACTTTTCCTACTATAACCCTGAAGTTGTGTCCTCTAGTGAGATTGTTAAAAGTTGGCAGTCTGAAATATCTTGTATTCTCAGCTCAGCTCTTCTATTCATAATTTTGAAAAATAGATCTTGGTCGTACATCACTCTTCTGAAGCGAAAGGAGGTCGCGCTGGGTATGGAGAGCCTAGTTTTGTATGACAGTCGAAACATTCCAGCCCGGGCAAGATTCTAGAAGTGAAAGATCGTTGAACTCTTTCCAAGGCATCAATTTGGGCTTTCTTGTAAGGGAACCACAGAGGAGTACAATATTCCAACAGAGGCCGCACATAGGTGACGAAGAGGCGGAAGAGCGTTTTGACATTCGGGGTTTTGAATACGCGTAGTATGTAATTGCATCTGGTGTGAGCAGCTTTGATTTTAAGTGATTTTATGTGGTATATCTAGAACAACTCAAAGACGAGGAGACGAAAAATTTCTAATTATAACAATGAATATATTTTTGTTCAACATCTTGTGTATCCTTACGCAGAAAAAAGCAAGACTTTCAAGTATGTTGTCCTTCGAACCTTGAAGCATGCCTCACACTTGTTAGTATTCAATTATAACGATGTCGTTAGAGTTTGCAAAGTGAGAGAATAATCTCTAGAATAAAGGAAACTTCTTATCAAGTAGGTAACGGTGTTTTAACTTTATATTACTGCGACTTAAAATACTCTTGTTAGTTATCCAATGGAACTCACCACCATCATGTACACATCATTTATTTAGGAGAAATTTGTGAAAGAGTAATTTGATGTTCATCGACTTTGTATACCGTAAGGCACTAGTAGGGCAACTCTCTATCATACAGTTTGCTATTTATTTTACATCTAGGCGCTCTGGATAAGTAAAATGGAGAATCAGAAACACAAGTATGGTCAGCATGGTAGAGGATCAAAGAAAATCAAAGTTCTGGACGACCTCGTCTCCCACATCATGTCTGATTATTCAAAATATAAGCTGCACTGGATGTCGATCCCAACGTGGAAAGAAGTGTCGAAGAAGCTTAAATAGTTAGAATCATGTATATAAAGCTTTATCCTAACCAAATTGGGAGAAATTGCAGTATGTCAGAGCTTCACAACTTTTTTTTGCAATCATACAATGGAACTCGCTCTCAGTTCGAGCATATATCGTGATAATCCAGTGAGAACATTGCTACCATCATTCTTAACATCAATATCACCCATGTATCAGAATGATCGGACTGATTTCTCCAACCATCAATTGTTCATGTGTTCAAGTGTCGAAATTCGATGCCAGAAAGTTTATGATGTCTTTTATGGGAGAATGGCAGCAATGAGCTGTCACACTAGAAAAAGGCCTACAAAGGAAAGTGAGTCACCGAATGAGTGTTTGGTGACAAGGTAACCCGGTTTTCCCCAGAACTAAAGTGAAGCAATCATAGTCTTATGTTTTTTGAGATCTACTTCGCAAATGTAGAAACTCACTTTGAGAACTTTCACTTATGCGCACTTATGAATATTATTTTCGATGGTGATTTCTAGTAAATTTTAGGGACGAATTTGAGGGTTACTGCAACTGCTCCACCCTGCCCATAGCTTGGCCAATCGCGACAACTGCCTATCAATCAGGGGGAGCCGCTGCTGCAAATGGTTCGAAAAAGCTCTTTTGCGCACAAAACAAAAATAGATAAGCTCATATGTTCAAAAGAAAATTCTGGCATAAGTACTGCTAAACTGCTGATACAAACAGTACTTAGCAGCGAATTATGACGCCAGTGACTTCTATAAGCAAAAATTCTCGGTTGGTTTTTTTCTTCGACTCATTTGGCGGCATCTTTACTTCCATGCTACCTTCACTTTTGGTGAGATGAAGATGTCGCAGCAAAATTATTTTCATCGATTAACAATTGCAAGGACTGAAATCTTTCCAATCCCTGATAGAATGGCCCACTCAGTTGCCAAAATAGAATAATCTTGCTGCAAAAAGCGTACCAACATCCCTTGATTTCCAGTTTCTTCTCAGTCAAGTAGAAGATACAACTTGATTACCTTGCTTGAAAGCACAGCACTTGTAAAAGGCGACTAAGACCGAAACTAGCCACTTGCACATGGTTTTCAGCCCAGATTTGAGTTAACCATGGGACTATGTGCGCTCAGGCATAGAGCGCTGGTTTCAGAACCGGATATGACCAAGGCATGAGGTGTCCGTTACGTGATGACCCTCGACAGCCGACTGAGGTTCGAACGCGCACGGTTGAACGATGAAATTGTCGCGGGGCGGTCCGCGTCGCGTGCTGCTTGACCCCGTGAAGTAACGGCGCTGCAGGTCTGTTTGCAGCCATCTTCGGAGCTTTACTGCGTTTCTCTCGTCTTCCAGCTGGAAATGATTTTCTCTTGAGGTTTTGCTTATGTTGCTTATGTTTATTCATCACGTTATGTGTTTCTATGCATTTTATTGCGAAATTTTTGGTTTTCACCTGACTTCGTTCTCTCAAATTCTAGCGTTTGGTACTCCCACAACTTTTCAAAGTGTACTCGCATACTCCAACTTTCAAATATAACCTTCCACCCCCTTACTCCTTTCAGTTTTCAATTTTCCGACATTTACTTGCATTTGTAGCACATAATTAAACAGCAACATTTCCTCAATCATCAGTGTTTCAATAGAACTTTCGCCTCACAGTGATGCATACGAGATTAATAGAACGAGATGTGGAATGCATTTTTTCTTTGTATTTTAGGTCATGCTTTGTTAATCTACTTTCGTATAATAGTGTTTTTATAACCATGGAAGAAGACATCCTCCCGCCTTTAACACCTCTTGACCAGTATCAAGAAACTGAGGTAGGTTTGAATTCTCATCATTCTGGTTTTTTTAAGAATCTTCTTTTTTTTAATACTTTTCAATATTGTCTTTGTCCGAATACTATTGCAGCGAAAGGTGCAATTATTCATCGAACATCTTTTTATGCTTTTTTATGATATTCGCGTTCCGCAAAGTCCTCACACGCTTTGGAATTCATTCGCAGTTGCATTGAGGATGAGCATGAAGCTCCAACTTTGTCACTAAATACATAAGTTTTTGGTAAAACGCTGGAGCAAGCCTTTGGTCGTTGCTTTCTTTTCGAAAGCAGTTGAGGAATTACGTGGATATCTTAAAAAAGATGTGAGGTCAGCAATCTCTATTGAGGCTTGGCTTTTCAATGGTTGTGAAAAATCCCATTCGTTTCGCTACTGACTGTGCAAAACTTGCCATTGTCCTTTTTATTACAGCATGTGCTCGTAGGTGTAGAAATGCTTGTTTGAAGCTGAACAACTGCAGTGTTATATTTTGAGCTTATATCGAAATTGTGATTCTGTTGTGTCAATGTTGAGATAGAACTTGCAAACCTATGACTGTTTCTTTACACCTGAGTGACTCATTTATGTAATCAATACAATCCAAACTTGGGCATAGGTATGGTGGTGGTGAACTGGCACACAAATTGTTTGTTTAAATAAATATCATTCCATGATCATCTTGTGGATTGATCGTTGTTGATGAGAGACACCACAGTATATTTTTGGCACTTCCGGCAGGCCAGCCCTATTTGGGTTTTCAGCTTCAAATGCTTTTTTTCAAACAACTCTAGTTGCTGCATTTTGTAATGAAATGTGTTAATATTTCATTGTGCTTTTCAGGGCAGAGGATTTTTCTCTGAATGACAGTTTTTGCAGGGAAAATTAGCAGCGTCCATTCGATGGCTCATCCTACGTGTGTATGAACAGGAAAAGGACGTGCCCGACAAGCTCCGTCATGGCGCATTTCGGGATGAACGAGTAGGGATTTTCACTATTGGGAACGAGTGAAAATCTGAAAATTTTAGGGTCATCTTCAGCTAGATGTTGCCATACTTACTGGTCTTACAAATGGATCACTGTACTCTCAAGCAGCTGCTAAGATATTTAAGGAGCCTCAGCTAGTCACGGTAATTTTGTCTGAATCCCTTGTGTACGTATGCAAGTTTCAAAAATCGGCCACATCGGACTCAAACTCACAGTTTACCGTTATCACGGATCACTGTTCACTCTGATTGATCGAGTAATTAGAGAGTGGATTTGGCTAATTTTGCTAGACAAACACTCCGTTGATACACTTTGACGCACCTTTCATATGATATCGTGTAGAAGACTTCCAGAGATTGCCAGGTAGCATTTCTTGAATAGTATGGATCTTCTGGCTTCTGGACGATATGTTTCGGTATTTTTGCGTCTCGTTATATTATGTAATGGCATCACATAGTTTGCTTTGCTGTCAGTTTGGCAGCTTTTTCTATTGGTTCTTCTCTGAAAAGATGCATGTTGTTCTTCAGCAGTCTCATGGGGCTGTACTAGCTGCTTTGGTTGACTATGGCATTGATGTGGTACAGAGTTCAGATGGGGGACCAGTCACGGAAAATCTGCTCTTTGCTGCAGACAACTTCAATATTGTGAGTTTGCAGTTTTTACACTTGATTCTATCATTTACGACTGCTTTAGACGGCTCATTTGGCAATGATGGATGCGCTCATGCAAGCTCACCTTCGGAATGTTATCACTGTTAATCGAGTTATAGATGCCGTGAGGTGATTTTGGCTGTAGTCTTTTTCAAATCATAGTAATACCATCGATCTGGTTAGTCGGCATACCACTGTTGATGAAAGCGAGAGACCAATGGATTCGGTTGACGCGCTGCTATTTTGGATAAACAAAGTTTGCCTTCTTGTCAGGGATGATGTAGAAAGATCACAGATTCAGTTGAAAGGTAAATGAGTTTGCACTGTTCTGCCCGCATATTTGCAATCTGGGTATGGTTTTGCAGGTGGCAACGACGGTGGAATGATTCCGGAGATGGAGGACTTGTATGACGAAATTAGTGATGGACAGTGTCTCTGTACTCTAGTTGCATGGTACAGGCCCAGAGAAATGGAGATTGAAGGTTTTTTTTTGTAGTGCTGATTATCGTTTTTAAGATTACTTTTTACTTCCTTAGATATCTGTTACAATGACCAAATGAGTACGGCGCACTGCCATTACAATTTGCTTCTTTTGCAGTGAGTTGCATGACACATACTTCCATCGTTTCCCGTTTCTTACGGTTTTTACTATATACCCTATTCAGACGATTCTGCCATAATTGTCTGCCATGGAATCCGTTTCATTTCGATATCGAGGATATCCTTTATCTCCACGACTCATTACAAATGAATATAAACGTGTTTCTGGCCGATTTATTCGAAATATTTGAACCTGCCCCAACTGGTAGGCGGAGCAGTATGTTATATACTACATCCGTTCTGAGATACCTTGACACTTGCTTTCTATCATCTAATTGTACTGATTTAGTCATAGCGCAACATGAAGCGGTTACATCTCCTCGTCGATTTGTTCCCATCCAAGGAATCCCAGATTTACGTTCAGCAAACTCGGCTGCTCGTAGTGCTCATCCACCAAGAGTTAGGAACCCATTCAATAGCATCCATGTCACTTCTACTCCAGGTGGCGCCATGCCATCGCGCTCAGTCAGCATGATGAGCCAGGATAGCTTACTGACTAATCGGTAAGAAGCTTAAAATCATGCTTGAAGTTTTTCGCTTTTTGTAGGTCTCATGATTCATGGCAAACTAACCAGCGGAAGCCAGAAAACTGGAGCGCCAATGTGACAAATTTCGGACGTTTAGTACAGGTACTTTTTGATTGATTTTCCGTTCAAACCTCTTTTCTTTTGTCAACATCACCTACTTTATAATAAACCTGTCTAGACCATTACCTGCACGGATATTATTTGCAAAGCTACCAACTATCACGCGATCAAATAACAAAGACTAGCAGTGAAGGGTTTATATTGATTTACTGCCATTTGATTAAAATTGTTCTTTTCATGAGTTTTGTGGGTGAGAAAGAGTTGGGGCAGTAACGATCTCCATTAATGGCATGATTCTGCGGTTTTGGGGACATTGCTTGTTACCAATTCATTCATTGAAAATGAAAAGTCTTTTTGTTTCATAGCCCAAATATCACGGTGCAGTCCTGTTAATTTTGCTCGAATACAATGGCAATGTACTTTGAATGAATTTGGGTTTGAATGCCTGCACGTTGCAATGTCCTGACTTGTCTTAACGGCGAGGCGAACTTCGGATTTACCAGAAGACATTTTTTAAACCAATATTATAAGCGTATCAGGCTATAATGTAAGCTTGAAACCAGAGAAGAGGGTGCATTTGTACTTGCAGTTGAGTCAACTATAGCATTTCTATTCAGTGATCAAAATCAGCACCTCTAATCTATCTGTATCCAGTTGTTGCTGATTTCAGCCTGATGGTGGCAGCAATGGTAATCAATCGCCAGCTGGATGCTCACCTTATGCCAGAAGCGATTCGCTACCTGCGGCTTCCATAAGGCTAGCTCTAGAAGAGAAACGACGGGATCATGAGAAAAGAAAGGCTTTGATTAGGTAGTTCTGCAATTAATGTCTTTTTTCTTTTATATCGGTATGCATTTAGCACTATGACTGAATCAGAGCGCATGGAAAAGGGTAAAGCTGCCTTCTTTGCTGTTATGAGTAGATTTGATGCCGCTGTGAGTTTACTCTTCTGATGTCGGGTATCGTTCAGTGGCATATGCTTTTTAGAATACCATGCCATCCGAATCAACGGAATCACCCAATGCGAAGATGATTCGCGAGTTGGATCGGAAGTTGACCGACTTAGCTCAGCAGGTGTCGTTCATGAACTTAAGTCCCGATCAACAACGTATGAGTCGTGCACTCTCGCAGCCAAGTGTTTACCAAGGTGCATACCATCCATTTTCCAGCCCTTGAACAGTCTCATGTGTTATGCGTTCAGATGCGCCGCAAATGGCTCCTGCTTCAGCAAGAGCTGGGTATGGTACACTGCCGCATAATGTCAACGCCCAGGCTGTTCCCAATTATGCACAACCATATTCACAGCAACAGGACTTTTACAACTATGCGCAGCCCCAGGGACATTACGCGCAACCACAGCAGGTAATTTTTACCCCACCACATTAATTCGGTTGAAACGCGAATTGCTACCTGAATACAGTCGGCATGTGATATTAGGTCATTCCGAAAATAATCTCGCTTTTTTCAAACGGAAGCCACATATGATGGAACAAAGGTTTTCAAGAGATCTTGGAAGCATTCGATGCAACATTTCATTCTCTTTCTAAAGGTTATGAAATTGTTGCAAAGCAATCGATGAGCTTTCAGAAAATTACCAAAATTTGCGACCCATGCTTTTTGAGATGGTCAAGTTTCACGATTTTTCAAAACTTTCATGTCAATCCTCAGAAGGAGTTCAAGTAACGATTCGATAGAGTAAACCATATAGAATACAGTACTACTTTTTTCTCTTTCTCGTAGCTCGCCGTAATTTTTTGAAAGATTTTTCAACAGCATCATCGGATTTTGGCAGGCCCACCTCAGCCACAATCGCATCAAACATCGTAATTTTTTGGAATCTGAGACTACCAAGATGATACTATGAGTTAGCATTAATTTTACAAAGCAACTGAGGGTTTACGGGTTCGAAAAATCAAATGCAGGTTTTTCGGGTACAGCCTGGGGCTCGCTAAAAAAGTGAGTTATGATGACTTCTCCCCGGAAACTAAACGAATCGAAAACAAAAAACATCTGTTAGAAAGAGGAGAGAATGCTGCATCAAGTAGTACGCGAGCTGCTCTTCTTTTGATGTTCTGCGAGGATTTAGCTGCCCAGGTATGGAAATCGGTAGCATCAGTTAAAATTCTGTTAAAAATGTATGACAAGCCATGGAAAGAAGAAAAAGTAGTTTTGCATTCTGTAGGGTTTGCTCTATAAAGATATTAATTGCACTTTTTCTGAGGGTTGATATGAAAGTTTTAAGAAATTGTGAAACTTGACTATCTCAAAAAGCATAGGTTGCAGATTTGGGTTATTTTCTGAAAGCTCATTGACTGTTTTGCAAGAATATCATAATTGTTAGAAAGGGAATGAAATTCTGCATCGAATGCTTCCAAGATTTCTTGGAAACCTTTATTCCATCATATGTAGCGTCCGTTTGAAAAAGCGAAATTACTTTCGGAATGACCTAATATCCTTTTCCCTATCAGCTAGTATGCGGTTCAGCTTTGATATTACAATTGCTCAACGTGAAGCTCGAATAGCAACTTAGTGCCATATATTTGCACAAGTAATTTGCGTCACATTTTAGCTGCGCGCTAGTCTCTCTAATGGCATGCTGAACTATCTACCTGGACAAGCGCCGTCGTACGGCGAATATCCAACGGGCTTGGTTCAACCTCCAATGCAGCCACCTCCTGGGTATGCTCCTGATCCGTACTCGTCTCATCCCGGTTCGTACATGCAACAACAATCACAGCAGCTGAATTATCCTATGGTGAGTAACTGCCACGTTGCTTTTCTACCTTCCTCATCCTCGTCCACCATGCAGATGCATCAGTCAGCCCATGCCGCCACCGGCTTCTCACTTCATCAACCTTCAACGGTTGGTATCTCTATGATGGCTCCTCCTGCATCTGCTTATTCGTCCGTACAAGCTATGCCACCGTCACTAGATCAACACAATTCCTCACCCTCGTATGCCCTTCAGCAACCGCCTCAACCTAATCAGCTGATGTCAACAGCTGGAATGATGAGTGCACAGCAGCAGCAGCAGCAGCAGCAGCTCTATCAGCAACAGTATGCGCCTTACCAAGGCACACCACAGCTGGAAAATCAACCTCCATTGGAATATGAATCTCATGAGGGTGCGTCTACGTTCCGACTGCACAGCCAGGATGTAGGTTTCTGTCCCTTTATATGTTGACCTTCCACTTACATGAAGGCTACTGCATGACGAAGGCGCAGAAGCGGTATTGGTTGAGCGGGCGCGTATTTTCACCGTTGTAAGTCCTGCGCCTCATGCGCTCTGCGGTTAATAATGCCGCGTTCGTGCCCAAAGTTGCTTTCGTCATGTAGCAGCCTAGATATTTTCTTCTTATGAGAATATGATTTTGCTCCATCTACTACTTCACTTTCAGGCATCGTCTAGCCGCATCGATCCACCACTAGAGATCAACCGTAATTTGACAAATTGGGGCATGACATATCAGAAGGTATCGCTTTATATGCGTTAATCAACATGCCTGCTCGTACTTTTTTGCTCACTATCTTATGAGGCTAGCTTCGCATTTTCTTCTTTGTTTGTGAATTCTAAAAGAAGGATTAGTGCAAGCTTATCGTAGTAGAAATGGCTTTGTTACTTACAAATAACCAGAATCAGATGCAGGGTCACACGGGTCGTCCGCAAAGAAGGACATGGGAGAATCAGACATTCATAAAAAGTGAGCAGGATCTAGTCAACCAGCCAGAACTTGTGCCGACAATTCCAAGTGAAGATGTTAGTATTTTCATTTCCAGATTTATATTTAACATCAAATTTTGTAAGCGCTGATTGCAATTAAGGACCAAGTACAAAGGCAGTCGCCTTGCCCAGTCGGAGCAGGACCAAGACGGTCGAGAGATTCTCGTGAAGGGGAAGCCGTTGCACCAGAACCGGAACGAGTACGAGTGCAGGGTGAACTTTGTCATTTTCGTTTTCGCGCTTGACTTCTTTGAGCGTTGGGTATTCGGAATCTAAACAGATTCAGAAACTACAGTTGCTCCACCGCAGCCATCACCGCCTCGTGATCCATCGAACAATACTAACGGCGCGTCCACTGAAGCGAAGTTGGAGGCACTTTACAAATGTTGTTTTAGATTGAAAGGATATGTGTTTGCAGGGCAACTGCTCCTCCGGGACCGGCATTTGTGGTTACTGATGACCAAGCAGCGGAAGATTTTGATAAGATTGTAAGTCCTAATCATTTGCTGTTAATAAGGATGGCCTAGGTTCCCTTTTTTGTCTAATCTTTTTCTATGCATAGACGTTCCTCAATATAGAAATTCTTCACTGCAAATCTCTTTATTTAAGGGTGAAATGAGATAAGTGCTTACTCTCCGTTTTACACTTTGCAGGCCGAACAACGTCGTCAAGCAAAACGGGCAGCACTTCTGGCAAAAACGATGAAGCGCAAGGAGGAAATTGAAAGCAAAGTATGTTGTTGTGACTAATTGAAATAACTCTTATACGCAGAGAATAACTGAGCTTGTTAACGAGTCTCTTTTAGAATAGGCATAGTCAATTTTCTTAGATCAACCAAAATGTGAGGTTTCATAGGTCGATCAAATAGAGCAAAGAAATGCCGAGAAGAGACTTGCTGAAATAGCTAAACGTGAGATGGCAGAGCAGCGAAAACTGGAGAAAGAGTTGCAGCGGTGAGCATTCATATAGCTACGTAGCATCGGCTTCTATATTTGTATTATAGACAGAAGATCTTGGACGACTACAAACGGCGGAAGATGGAGAAAGAGATGGGCGTTGAATCCGGATCTAATTCGGCTCGAAGTCCTCCAGGTCGTGGACACTCACAACCACCTTTTGTCCGTACGAAATCACAAGTGCGTTCTTATATTTCATGATCTGGTTTGCTACCGTTATCATTTTATTCGATTTAGATGTCCGAATCAGCGATGGGTGCCGACAGTGTTGAAAAGGGGCGCCCTCCTAGGGCACGAGGGCAATCCACGGTTGAGCAACGTATCTCGGTTTCAAGCTTGCAGGAGCCAAGTAGGTGTTAAAATCCTTTTTTTTTCAAAATTTTGTGGTCATCTCATCACAATCTTGCAAGCTATCGTGTTTCTCACAAGATTCTTCAACAGTCATTATGTAGACGTATGCTTGCACCCCAAAAGTTTCGGAAAATTTGTTGTACATCCCTTCATCAACAGTTTCTCAACATGTAATTTATTGTTCTAGCTCATAAGCTGTTTGCCAAAGCTACACCGAAATCGAATCGTGGTCTGATAATCAATGCTCTGCAGTATAGCGTGTTCCCAGGAGCTGTCAACGACCAAACGAGAATGAAGGTAAGTCTGTAAGCGTACTTTTATGCGTTATTATCGATTGTATCATAGACAATGAATGATCTGGCTGCTTCGGATGCCAAACACTTCCTCATTCTTTTCCGCGATTACAAATGCCAATACCGTGGCCTCTACAGTTGGGATCAGGTATGTCTTTGTTAGTGAAGTCGCTGCAGTATCTACCTTGAAAACGTCCTTCTACGCTCATTTAGGTTTCCGACACCGCTATCAAAATTTCTGGTCAAGGGCCTTCGAAATGCTCCGAAAGCATTATGAAGCTGATGTTCAAGTAAGTACAAAAAGGATAATATACTTTTTTTTAGGTCTTTGATACGTGGTGTCTGCAATCCTTGATTCACTTGTTGTTTAGATACGATTCGGGTGCGAAGAATTTCTCACAGATTCCTACAAAACATCTCGGTGCAACTATTGATGGTTTCTCAATCCAAGATCAGTTTTGGCAAAAGCCGAAAATTCCTTATAGCAGTGCAGCATCTCATCGAAATAACTGATGGGAAAATTAGGAAGGCCTCGATGTAATTTTTATTCGCTATGAGCGCCTTATTTATGGTGACGTCGTCCGGTCAAAGTGTTGCCATTCTATGTTGTTCTGTTCACAGTAGGCAATCGTTCATAATATATTTCGGTAATCTGACGCTAAGTTAGCTGTAACTACGCTCAAATTGTTATGCATCAATGCCTTTCGTTCCTCTGCGTTGTACTGAACCAGCCATGCCTGTACCAGACTTCTTTTGAGTTTGTGAATTTGTGCGTTGTTGTTTTTCGAATCTCTTGATTGAATATCGGTTAAGTTCGACTTAAAGGTTTGTTGAAACTTGGTGTTTCTTATTGAGAGGTTTTGTTGCGCCGTTGTTCGCTATCGCTGTTTCGCTTGTCTTCCAGGAATTCGCAATATAGGCATTCATCAGCTTATGTTGATACCCGGTTCTTTTGTCTTCCCTGATTTTCACTTCTATATGTCATTTTTTTTGTAAGGCTTAGAGTAAAGAGATCTTGACTTGCATGCTCCTCCACTTTCGTCCGCACGACTGCGTTAACTTTTATTAGAATCTGTTGTCGTCGCTGCTGTAGTAAATATGACATAGTTAGCTTGGTCAACACTGGAAGGGAAGCTACGACAGTTCATGCTGAAATCACCATTCCCGTCCTATGATTGCACTCGTACAGCGCACGTGAAAACGTTTTTGTTTGTTTTTGGGTTATTTAGAGGGTGATACACGTTTGCTACTTACTATTGTTTGATCGTTACAATAACACCGTTCAATTTTTGGTGCTTGTACCTTACAGATAGATGCCTAATCTTCTCTCTTTTTTGGCAAGCTTGTAGTGCCTAGCTTGTTAACTATTGCATAATTTCTTGCGGCCCTAGTGTTAACAATACCTTCTGCCATTTTTGTCGTGATATTGTTTTTGCAAATAAATTCGGTAATCACGAACAAGAGGTTTTGTAAGCTGTTATTGTTGCGAATATGATACGAGACAGGCATTTTTCAGATAAACTCCATTATATAGCACAGAGTTCTCTTATTTTCGACAGAAACAAAATCTTGAAATAAAGTGGTGTGGGCATGTATTCTCCTCTAAGGTGTATTCATACTTCGGCACCAAAAAAGGAGACTTCCCCAATCGCCCGCCAAACTGCGGCGCGCGAATGTTTGAGAATTTTTGGTGTCCTTTGTTTATTTCGGCTGTAGTTGTAGTAGTGATTCAAAATGCAGTCAGTATAACTGGATACAGTCTTAAGAGTTGCAAGGAAATATTTTATCTGGCGTTTGAGTAAGTCTATCATTCAAGAAATGGTTAGCTTAACATTTTATGAAAACAATAAAAAGGAAAAAAGAAATTTTTTTTTGATATGCCAGATAAAATTAGACGCACCCTTAGAAACTTGAATCGTGCCAGACTTGCCCGTTTTTTACGTTCGCTTTTCTGTTAGCTCCATGTTTCTTTCAAATAGTGCTGATTAGCCTTAAAATAAGAAGCGCGTTTGTTTGGATTCTTTACCAATGTGGACGCATCTAGCTCTGCGTCATTTAGCGGGAGAGTAAAATGATCAAAATTATTTGCCTTTGTCTGAGTATATAAATGGAATATTGACCGATTAAAAAAATGGATTCCAAGGATTGAGAACTCAACCAAATAATTTAATTAGCAAGAAGGAACAGGAAAGGGTGAGCAGACGAAAACGCACTCCGTCACAGACCTGCATGGACATATTCCTTCCTTGCCTTAGTTTTTTTTTGATTTGGAGTCTGCAATCACTCTATGTAAGACCTCTAATAGTAAAATGGAGCTCAGGGCACATTCGCAGCGAAAATTATGACCAGAAGCTAATTACTGAGGTCGCGAATGGTGCGACTGACATGCCCTTCCAATAGTATTTCCGTCGTTGAGTTGTTTTGTCCGCAGCTGAAATCCTATCACATTTTCAAATTTCACTTATCCCGTGTTATCAAATAATACTCTTTCTACTTTTCAGACTTACTTTATTAGTTCTGGACACGCCTATGAAGTCAAATGAGACCACCTTTTTTATTGGTGGTGTTGGTGTTATCACAGGGTATGTTTTCCTTGAACTTATCACAACATCCGCTCAGAAGAACTGTGCAGGGTTGGATGGCGAACTGACAGACTACAATGACTATGATTCAAGCGACATTCATGGGATAGATAACTTTACCATAGACGATGAAGATGTCAACTCACACTTGGTAAGTTCTCTCAAACATCATGCTAACCACTTTGATTTTATGTCTGGTTACGTGCAAGCATCTTTTCTTTTTAGCAAATCCAAGCAACTCTGCAACACTTTCAAGAGTGTCGTGACAAGAAATGGTCATGTGATAGAGATTGTAGGTTGGAATTTCGTCAGAAAACCACCAAATGTTAGTGAAATGTTTTGCAAATGTTTTGTATCAGTTTTATAACCGCTGAGGAAGTATCTACATTAGGCCAGCAGCCATTTCCGCATGACAAGTGCTTTGGAATACCTATCAACTACAAATACACACGCGATCATAATATCGGCAGGTTCCCTATCGAACTGGGTGTGCTGAGCCGATATCCCAGGTTAGTTTTCCTTCGTAAGAAACACTCTGCAGCTCTTTTGACGGCTATGACATAGATGTTGGTCGTACCTTGGTCCATTAATATGCGCAACAATCTTTCGGCCTTGCTCTCGTCATTATTTCATTGAGAAGGAGGAGAATGGCAGCGTTAAGGTAAGATAATCTATGTTTTGAATGCATGCAATGCTGTGTATGAGTTAGTTTAAGTTTCTTAGTTTTGCTTCATCCGACAAGCTTTACCTAGTGGCTGTTGTGAGAGGTAACAGTGACTTTTGATTATTTGCACCAACTAAATGGTGATTGGTAATGCTGCAATCCCTGCTGTAACTTTGTATGGTAGTGGGTACGTCTTTGAACCGAGAAACTCCAACTTTTCAAACATTATTCAGAATTGTGGAACGGTCTTCGGTTACTTTGTCTCGCAATGTCCTTTCGGTAGCACTTTATTGCCAATTTTTCATAAGGTTTTCCCATATTCTTTGTCAGAGTTTTAGCCCATTGAATCTCCTTTCTGGCAATTCCATTTTGCTAACAAGGGAATGGTCAGAAGTGGAAGTGCCCACATGCAAGCTGCCTACCATTTAATGCAGCATTCAACGCTGATTTTGGATCTGTATTCCTTATCTGCTTAGTGCCTTTTTAAACGAAGTTAGGGCAGCTTTATTGCGAAAAAATCGTACACAAAATTTGCGAAATTGAGCACGTTGTTGCACTTTCAGCTTTCAGCTTTCAGCTTTCAGCTTGCACTTTAGGCTTTAAGAATATAAAGTAACCTAGCTGCATGTTTTGGCCCAGCATTAAGACGAGCATGGCTCTACACTGTCAACTTTAAGCTTTGCATTTGTGGTTGCTAATCAAAATAATGGCTTTTAACGGTTCATAACTTCGCCCGCATAAGCGCTAAGCAGATATGGAGTACAGATATGAAGTCAGCGTTTTATGCTACATCTAAAGGTATGCAGCTTGTTTGGATTGATCACATCGATTTCTTCCGATTCCTTCTTTCTGTGTATAGCTTCAGTACGATTTCATTGTAAATCATTTTGCAGGATGGAACCATTGAGTTGTGGCAGCTTTTGGATGATAGCGTGTGCGAGAAAGCTGTGCAAATGTGCGGTGATGTCATCTCATCCGGGCTATTCCCATCTTTTATACGTTGTAAAGATGTCAGCACGAATGACACTGGAATGAAGAGCCGCCTTATATATTCAAACAAATGCCAGGTATGCATTTGCTGCGTTTTCTTGTAACATAAATTCGTTCAGCACAGTATCGATGACTACCCGGTCAAAGTTGACGAGGGTGCCTGTCCATGGCCACTGGTATTGGAATCAAGCTCATTACAGACAGATTCAACACCTCTACTAGATAATTGTTATCTTCCTTGCAGGTGCGTTCACGTGTTTGTTCAAACTAAGAAGTAAAATTCTTTGCCGACAAAGCTCTAAAAAAAGAACTATTATGTAGATTTTACGCAGTGTTTCGCTCTGTCAGACATCTTTTGAAAGACCATTGCAGATCCCCATTTGTATCCCCTCCTCTCTCGGACAGATTTCGAACGGTCCGTTTCTTTATTTGTACGCTGCTGACCATCCTTTTCTTTTCGGAATCGGTAGGTATCGTTAACATGTTAACATTCTCAGAACCCCTTAAGTCCCACATACCTTTTCAGATTTTTTTGTCGCGTTTTTGTAAGCTATTTACTGAACATAATTCTCTCTTCTACATCTCGCATGCAGTGATCTGTGCCGCTACATATTGTCTCGTCTGGAGTTTATCATATTTTGATATTTTTTTCACCCTCTCTGAGTGCGCTTTTGGTGGCGTTTCTCGTCGTTTCGCGCTTTCTCACAGCATTTTCGAATGGTGAGTTGATTACATCTTTGTATTGCAGTGGTTTCAGTCCGTTATGTAACACAGGTGCTCTATACATTCTATTATACTTTACACAAGTTTTCTTGCTGCTTATATATGGTTACTGTTACTTTACGTCAATGCCATATGCCCACCGAGTATGATTTCATTCTATTTTACGCCAAGGTGTGTTCCTTTTTTTCTGGATTTTTCACTTTTCGGTGGATGTCTTTCTAATTAGCTACTGTTTTTTTCCGTTGATTTATTGCCCACTTTCCGAACATAGTGATCGTTAATCTGAATTGATATGGAATAGTGCTCCCCAGGTGTTGCAGGTCTTTCCGCATCTGTTCCCGACTTTTTCTTATCTTCTGTGTTTATGGGATATCTGTGATAATCTCGTTTTTTGTTATGAGTAGCCTGGTGAGTTCAAACTTCCCTGTTGCGTTTTTTCTCAAATTCCGCTTCAGCGTGAGAACGACGGTGTTTCCGGTGTTTGTCATTATGGACTGTTAACATGGTGGAAATATCTTGCATCCATGTTTCCTTTGGTATGCATTGCATTGATCCTAATAAGCTTTATACTAATAGTTTCGCACAAAAGAAAAGGTAGGTTTGTTGCTTCAATTTGCGGAATTTTGTTGTGCATCATCTTCTTTGAGAGATCATGAATAGGTTGGCCTTGAGGCATGCTTTGGATGAATTGAACGGAGATGAGAATCAGGAATATACTGAGCATTTCCCTCGGTTTGAGGTAAGCTGTAAAATGTATGTTACTTTTTTCCTTACCAATTTCTCCAGACGGATGGCGATGCAGTCTTTGCCCATGTCCCAGGAGCAGTCAATGGTCCTTTGAGCATCGATGTGAGATGTGTAAGAGAAAATCAAGGGTTACTTCGAGAAAGTGGGTAATGAATTCTATTTGATTGCTTTTCTATTTGTCCTTTCTAGATCCTAATCAGCAGATGTTTTGGAATGTTTATAACAGGAGTCAGCGGTTATTGAGTGAGCGTCTTTGTCGCGAGCGTAATTCTGGAATATCAATCAGGTGGATTGGTAAGTGGCCTCGGGCAGTGGGATACAACATCTTACTTTCTTCATTTGCAGGAGCGTCGTTTATCTTATTTATGTTGTTTTTGGTAGTATCTCCTTTTATTCATTATCATTATGTTGCAATGCCCGCTAGACACGAGGAAGAAAGCATAGTAGAATATATAACGTGAGTCACCTGCGTTAGCAGTGATTTACTGTTTCAAGTTCGTAACATTTTTTGGTGTGTGAATAGTACATTGTTGATCAAGCTTAGCACTAAGAAGGGAAAGGATACTTGGTGACTGTGGCCACTCGTTATTATTTGTATATAAAAATGCGCCTTGCAATGCTGGTTCGAAAACTGTCTTCCATATCTCCGAAACGATAACTAGGATGGAGTTATGATAATTTTTCCATGAATAAATTGAGCTACTGCGGAGGGTCAAAATCATCAATAACAAGTTTTCTTTTTTTAAATGCCAATAGCTTCAAACGGTAACCTCGAACAAATTTGATGACTTCAACTACACAAAAGTACGCAGATTTTCTACGAAAAAAGTTCATAACTTTTTTCAGAAGATCGTGCAGATATCGAGCACAGATTTAGAATCAGCGTTTGGAGTTGCATCTTAAGGTATACATCGCATCCCAAATGGCCACGGTGACCAAGTATCCTTTCCTTGTAAGCATTGGAATCTTCTTAAAGCATCGCTTCTGACTTTACACCTAGTATGTTTTACATTTTCTATTGTAGATGTCATGTCGCCCACACAATTCGCAATCGCTCTGTAGAGTGGATCACCCAAAATGACTACCCTTTGCCAAATTCACACGATGCATTATGGTGCTCACTGCCTCTCAGGGATGCGCGAGATCGACTCGAAGGGATTCTTGTGGTGTTTGTAATTCTGCCAGTTCTACCTTTTCTGGTTCTACTAATGGCTTTCCTGGCTGGATTGAACGGCTACGGAAGGTTTGGGAAGGTAAGCCTTGTCTGGTTTAGTTTTTCGGCATTTTGTGAACTTTTACAGTGGCAGAAACATGATGGTGGCAGCGAGTTTTCCAAAGTACCTGTAGACTGTGAGACTTGTGAAGCAATTCCGATGAAGCCTGTTGTTGTTCATAAGTCTGATGTAGAGGCTGCGTCACCTAGTTCAAAGTAAGCTACCATGATGATTAATGGTTTTGGGTCTCTTCTATAGATAGATGGTTTCCAGGGACACAAAAGCGTCTTTTATGGAGGCTGTAGACGAGACGCAAATTAAACTGCAAACTGAAAGCCATGTCAGTTTTTTAGTGAATATGTGCTTTATGTTTTATGCATTATTAGAATTTATTAAGGATGTGGAAACTGGCGATAGTACAAGTGTTGCTGAAGGTGATAGAGAGAGTCAAAAAGAATACCAAGAAGAACTCATGAACATCATAAACAAAATCCGTGATGAGTTAGCATTCCAGCAATGTGAGTGCTTAAATTCGTCTATGTCTATCTGAAAAGGTTGCGTTCAGCTATGCTTGTTACGGACGGTGCCGCTTGGAATATCTCTCTATACTACATGCGACGCATTGAGCAGCTTTTATCTAAGCTGCAGTCATCCGACATCAAGGCGGACAGGATATACAAAGGTTAACGATTGAATCCTGCACAAATCTTGTACTGCGAACTAAATCGTGATGATTTGCAGAACTGCAAACGTTTGGAAATGAAATGAGCAGGGTGGTTCCGTCGGTTTCAAGTCATGTCATGCAACTTTCACGATGGATGGACTCTGTTCGCGAGACATATCTGAACATTGAGCATCTCAGAAGTGATCCGGAGGAGCACCAGTATCCTGTCGGCTCGGGAGACATCTCTCGCCAGCAGGAGTTGATAGCTTTGAACGACTACATAATGCGAATGGCAGCGTCAACTTCAAGCCATCACGAATCACCGCAAGCATGCACAACAAATGCTGAGTTCAGTACTGTAGAGCAGGAAAATGTGAACTCGGGTCCATTGCCAGTCGAGAAGGTGAAGGAGCAGCCGTCGGAACAGATATGTGCTGTCAGTCGAGAGCAACGTCAGGACTCGGTTGAAGATCAGCAGCCTGGTCCCAGTCATGATAGACAGGATGCTCCTGAGATGGTACCACCAGCTGATCGGCGGACGGGAGTTCCCATCAATGGTAGGTTGTTCACAAAGTCATTTCTTCTCTTTGCTCACACCATTTCGTGTCACAATCGCTCTTGTCACTAAAAAACTATTACCGCAGTAGTTCTTACTGCAAACAATTGTTCTAATATACCTTTGAATTTATAAGTGAATGGCAGTTCTTCAGGGAATGCTGCAGTACCTTCGCAGTCCTCAGTTAGGGCCCGTCAGATTCTGCGAATTAGTGCATATGCTGAATCGTACTCAGGTAAGCATGTGCATGCATGTTAACTTTTTGCTCGGCCATTTCCACTCATCCTTCTCGTAATTGTAGTCGTCTGCATGCTCATTCTACTTGCCCCTTCCTTTTATTCTTGTCATCCTACAGTTGCAATTCGACGAATTTGATTTCAGCTACTCCGCAAGGTATTCTGACGAGACTGACCGTACCTGAGCTACGCATCCGCGTGCAACAGATCAAGAATATATGCGCTGGTGACTCTCTATATCCTCAGGAGGTACATACTCGTTCAATCACACATCTAAATGTAAATTCCTCAACGACTTTATAGCTTTCCTATATGCTTTTGGTCACGGGTGACATCACTTTCGGGGGAAATACAGCAAGAGAAGATTTTCATCTGTACACGGTAGAATTATGATGTCTGTTTTGGCGGACATAATCGTCTTCTGATATTATTTAGATGGAGCAACTTCCTAGCATATTTGGTGCAAATGTGCCAAGTATCGATGCACGGATAGGCGTTCAAGATTTTCTTGTCCAGATGCGCAGGAGAGCACTTTGCGTGGTGGCTGCCATTGGATACCACTTTTCGTTACATCACAGGAGAGGTTTAGAGTATGTTTTTGCTACGTTGTGTTAGCTAATCTGTTACTGGAAAATGCTGAGCGAACGAAAAATAAAGAGAAGGAAATGCACACATGTATTGTAAGCAAACTAGCTGACGCTAGACTTCACTATCATCTATGAATAGCACCCGAAATCATTTAGTAGATGAGATTTTAAGATATCTGACGTTATCGACCACTGTAATGTAATCGAAAGCTGGATATATGAATAAAATTTTTGAGCAATATTTGAGCGTTTTCCTATGATTCAAGTGCATGATAAGCTATTTTTATTCTCTGCAGGTATACGCCTCCAGTACTACCTCCACTGGGACTGTATCGATCTGAAAACGAGTTGATACTACGACGAGTTTTGGGTGACAATGATGATGTGCTGCCATCATTACGTGACTTTCTGCAGGAGTTCCAGTTCGGACGGTGAGTTACATAGTTTTCTCACCAAATAATAGTGTAGTGTATGCTTTTTACATCTGATTATATTAGCACAAGAATCAGCAGCCCACCTTCATGGGGCTTTTCAATTTTTTTCTACATATCGCATATAAAGGCCGGGCACGCATCAAGCGATATTATCGCCTCGCGATTTTTTCGATACAACTGTTCCGAATCCACTGCATGGCGATCATCTTGCATTTCGGTTGTGATAATTTTTGATATGTTGTGGTTTCCCGACACGACCGATCGTGACTAAGTTTCACATTTGAAATGCAAGTTAATTGTTGAGCAACGGACTCGTAAAAGTTGTCTTGTTGGGAGAATCGCGGCGACGAAATCACGCAATGTATGGCCGACCCTTCACGCCCCAGGATGGTAGAGCCGCATTTACGTTTTGTTGCTGCGGGCGAAATACAAAGTTGCCGCTTGCTGTTGCAATATCTTCATCTTTAGTTTTTCTCGCAGCTATCAATGGTTCTTACTTCGTAAACTAATTTTATTGTGCTTGATGGTTTAACAGACCTCTCTCTTTTTAGAGGACCGGTGGTTCCTCGCCTCGATTTGAGATTCGCCACTGCTTTCAGAAACTATTTGTGCCTTGTTGCGGCAAGAGAGGGTTTCGACAACAACATCGTAAGTACAATGCTTGTGGATTTGCCTTGACTTTCACTGAATTTCTTTTTCTTTCAGGAAGAGTACGTTCCTGATCCCGACCCTCCGCAAGAGCCGTCAAACGCTCAGGCAGATGCAGATGATTCTGATGAAGATAACGATCCTGATTTTTGATGTTCCCAATCATCGCAGCACTGATCCCTTACATCTCGCGCACGAGAATCTGTCATCGTAGATGACCATAAACTTCCGATCACTGCTTTTATTTGACCGATTTTCTATCCATAGTTTCTTAATCTTGTAAGGATCTTTAATTGCAGTTTTTGCTCTGCAGCCGTATGCCCTGCTTTTTTCGCTGATTTAGTAGCTTTCAAACAACCATATCACGATTTTTCTCAAATCTGACGGTTTCTTTGCTTCACGCTCCGTTGCCTGATTTGTTTGCAAATTTTATGTGCATAGTTTTTTTTTGTATATAGACTGAGATTTTTGTTGTTGCTTTTTTGTTTGTTTGACTGTCAATTTCTAAATTGAATTTGCTATCTCTGAGTGATTTAGAATCGGCGATTAGTTCGGTGAAGAATATCGAGATATTTACGTAGGAGTTACGGAGGAAAATGGCTGTGGATAGCTGGGCGAATCATGTGTTCAGCATAGAAAAGAAAAAAAAGTACATGGCTAGTTTCAGTTTCACAGGCGTTTTGCCTTGCTGTAACGAATAGCTCGTCCCGTCTATACAGCGAATCGAAGCAGTCAGTGGTTATCTGCTGACCGTAAGTTTCCCTATTATCAGTTTAGTGTGGATTTTCTCTCAGTGTAACAGAATGGTTGTTCCAGAGAGTGAAAAGGTTTAGTAAAATTTCTTCTCGATTCTGAAATTTTTTGGTGGACGAGATGGTTTTGTTTTAGCGTATATAGTCGATTCGTTGACTGCAAGAACTGGACATCACTGCGGAGCACGCGCCGCAAGGTAGAACGCTTGCTCCAGTACAAATCCGCCATTGTGAAAGTCGCGCTTTCGCGACACTTTAGCCGCGCCGCGCATGGTCCGCAGCGTTTGAGCAGTCCGTGCGGTCAACGAATCGATGATAAGTAAGAACCTCCATAGAAATGTAATCACCCGTCAGTCAGCCAGTATTCTGCATCAAATGCTATCTTTCCTTCTACCGTTTTGTCATACATAAAACGCAACCGTAGCCGTATTTTCTAGAACATCAATTGGACTTTCTAATTCTGTTTCTCATGCTATTGAATTGGCACGGACGTTTTTGCGTAAATCGCATAAAGTAATCCCTAGATTACTGCAGCTGGCTCCAATCTCACTTGAAAGCGCAAACCAAAAAGCCTTCAGAAACGTCCTCTAAAGGCTTTTCGCAATTCTGAAGTAGGCGTTAGAAATACATTTGTCAGTAGGAGAAATCACAAAAGTGTAAGTCGCACACACAGTTGCAACAAGCGCACTCTCTTGACTTCCATTTATACTCAAAACGTTTTTTCCCACCTACTTGAAGTTACAGAGCTGAGCCTAACTTGGTATTTCTAACAGTCTAGTCCATATGATCAGACTTGTCGTCGCACAAAATGTGCACCTCCCGTATCCATCTCTAATTTTGTGGCAAAAAGGCGAGAGACCGGCCAATTGTCGTCAACTCCTCAAGGAGACTTTCTAAAAAAGAAAGAGGAAAAAATTTTTTTGAAAGCACCCACCTGGAGGATGTCTGCGGGTAGAGGACTATATGCCGCCGGCGACATACGGTGATTTGCAACAAATACGCATGTATTTGATTCTGTGCTACAAGTGCACCGCATGTTTTGGTGATGGCAAACCATTCAACGAATCTATTATCTAACTTATTAAATTTGTTCCGGACATGTTTTACGCTGTAAACCCTTGCGATAATCATGCGATACATGGTGGAAGTTGGAGTAGGATCCACATAAATTAGATAAACAAAGTGTCGTCGGCGTTGAAAATATCGTAAGTTTGGGATACGTTAACTCAACAAAAAGTTTTCCTCGAATAACCAAATTTTGAGTATGGACACAGAAGAGGTAGCAGAAGGCTTAAGTTATCTGCTATCTAGTCTACTGATTTTATTTTAAAAAAGTGAACATTATCCGCTTCTATTTCCTCTATAGTAATTTGAGAAGGTATGACTACCAGTAGAGAAGTGTACTGGAGACTGGTTGCAATTTTCTATAGTTAGTCGGAAATGAATATTCACGAAGAATCGACTTTATTTTTGAAAAATAGAAATTTTGAAGTATTTGTCAACGTATTTTGTCAAATAGTGGGTCGCTGCAAAAGTTTTGTCAGTTTTTCAAAATTCAACAGCAAACACGGTAGAATAAAGATAAGCAAACACTTCAAAGTCTATCCGATGCAGTCTTCCTCTTTCCAGGTGAGGCAAATCTTTTGCCAACTGAAGCATTTTTTATCTTTTTTCGCTTTACTTCGAAGTTTCATCAAACTCAAGAAAAGTGAGTTTTGGAAAATCGCTCAACTCGTAGCAAACACCTCGAAATCTCGGAATACTGAGGTTTTGAGACTCGACTTTTACATCGCTAGTCTTACAAAGTAAATGAGCGATTTTTGCTGAGAATTTGAAGATTTTGTAACTTAGGGTACTTCAGTGCACACTCGTGAAATTAAGAAATAGTGCAGTTCCTGCAGATTTCGCATGTCTCGCCAAAAAACACAACTGTTGAAAAGAGCAGAAAAAGTTCCATCGAATGGTACCTGAACTGTTTACCATTTGGTTTCTACGAGGTTAGAACCGGCCGAATATAAGGTTCAGTTACTTAAAAAAAGATATCAAATTCTGAAAATCAGCCGCTAGAACGCTATAAAAAATTGCTGCATTTGGCAAAAGGTTTGGCCTATCTGTTGACTATCAAAGCTGTCCAAAAGTCCCAGATAAAGATTCAGAAAATTAGCAAAAGCTAGATATTATGAAAACAAAGGTTTGTAGTCCCCAGCTGTTATCTCAGCACCACCACAACCGAAACACATTGAAATCATGGCAGCTGGAAAGAGGAAGGAATTTTTTATCGGATACAGCTTTTGATAAATGTTTATCTTTATGTACTCTACGGGATTTGCAGATTATTCAAAAAAAAAAATGGAACTTCTGCACCGACCTTATAAAAGATTCTGTCGTTGGAGAAAATACAGCAACTAGTTTTTTTTTTCTGTAAACCGGTTTTTTTACTGTACTTGGTCTGATCTTCGTAATCTTATGCAAGATATACAGGGTGTCCCAAAAGTAAGTACACACTTTTCAATCGTCAAATCTTTCTTCACAATCGGTCTTTTTTGGCCAATCAAGTACCATTCTGTAGAGGAGGCTTCAACTTACTAGATTCACAGTATTGACCGAATTACCAATCACTCTTCGTTACTGTAGGATTACGGTAAAAACATCCAGCATGTGGAACCATTGTGAAATAAGCCATCTGAAAAAATTCTTTTCAAAAAAAATCGTGTACTAAGGTTTTCGCGCACTGCATAACTTCTTACTTGTGTTTTCAGCTTTTTTGACGGTGTAATCACATTTGTGTCAAATACTGAGAATTCGGTTATCACGGTTTACCTGGGATAACTTTGGAAAGAAGTATCACAGTAAAGTGGAAATTTTATATTCGAAATCAGCGGCTTTCATTGCCATAGTATAAAAGTTTCTGGCTTGTCTGGTTTTTTTCCGAGGCAGAATATGGCTTCCAATGGTCTAAAATCCTTCTCGAAGTTCCTACGGTAATCCTACAGTAAAGAAGAGAGATTGGCAATTCACTCGATACTGTAGATCTAAGTTAAAGCCTCCTCTACATAATAGTACTTGAAGGGCAGGAAAAGACACAGTGGTAAGAGAGATATTAACGATCGGAAAGTGTGTACTTACTACTGGGACACCCTGTATATCAGAACTCATTGCTTAATAAGCTATCAGCTGTTTTCGGGTACTACTCTCAAATAAGCTTCGAATAAGAAAGAATATGAAGTTCGTAATTTGGGAGGTGAAGAAGGCACGAAATACGTCAGTACTTTCACACTAACAATTCAACATTGATTTTTACTGCTAATACATAACAAGACGCATTTGTTGCTGCGTAAGTCAGTATTTCGCAAAATTTTCAATATAATCTTTTCTCCCCACATTATCTGAGTTCAAGTCGGCAAGGCTGGTGTGATTGCCAAACCCGTTGGTAAATCCCAGTGGAATCGCTGAAATGTAGGCAATTTAACATGGTTTGGGGCAAATCTAACGCTGCCATCTTCATCGCATATCAATTTGTTCGCATTCACTACACTTCACATTAGTAGGCAACTCGATCATGCGTCTCATTACACATGCTATTGCTGGCTCGAAGACGGGTTTGTGCGGATTTCCAATACTGCTTGGCTGACGTTTGTACGTTTAGAGAACTTGTTGGAGCGGAAACTGGCATTAGGCTTTTTTGAGTTGATTCCGTATCTTTCAATTTCGATCGAAATGTTTGACTCTTTCTGACAGTGTTTACAGGTTTTTTCCAGATCGGAGTAAACGTGCCACGCTAGAAATTTCCATAAGATTAGCAACATTCTCCGAAAAATTTCTTTATTAGATAAATTTTTTCATGCTAGAATTGGTGAGAATTGCACAAACTCTCTCTACACATTCAGTTGCTTTCTAGAGATTCTCGAGAAAACATTTTGGTGGGCTGTCTAGAAAATATCGGTTGCTTTATCTCGTAGTAATGCTTATCTTGGAATTTATTTGAGTAATGCTTTTTCCAATAAGAAAAGGCCTAAAGTATTAGGTTCGATCGAGAAGTTTCGTCAGTTTTTTGAAAAGAGCCGCAAACCTACAGTGAAGATAAACATTTCAAGTTGTATCCGATGCACAATTTCTTTCTCTATCCTGCTGCTATATTTATTAGGTTGGTCGGAATGTTCTTGCGCATCACTTTCAAAAAATCATAACTTCCCTGCCACTCGATGGATTTCGTTGAAATTGCATCTGTTCGAAAAAGGAATCCATGCTCTTTACAACCGCACCTTCGCCATGAATTACTTTGAAAAACTTCGAGAGTTACAAGCAATTGAAGGAAATCAGTCAAAATTAGCATTTTTCGAGCTGGGTCACAAAAAATTCTGGAAGTATTTTTATATGATAGGGAAAATTGTGCTCATTACAATGGTACTTTTTCCATGAGTTGAAACGAAAGAGATCGAGAGTTAGAAGCAAATGAAGAGAATTCCTTCAGTTTTGCAATTTTTGAGCATGCTCAAAAAAGCTTGAAAACGTCACAGAAAATGCGGTAAAGTCATGAACATAGGTTTTGCGACCTTCTCTTTCTAGCTGAGTAAGTTTTGAGCTAATTGAGAGCATTTTTGACTCTCGTGAAAAATGCAGGCTTGAAAATCCGATAAAATCACGAAAAACAAAATTGCTTTCGATTAGCTCGAAACTTGCTCATCTAG